AAGATGTGAAAAATATGAAGTCTAATTATTCTGGCTGTGATCGGCAGTTAGGTAATAGAGTAACAAGCAATACATTCATTGTCTAAATCACTAACAAAAGTCTGCACCAGCTACTTGTGGTACTGAAAGAAAGAGGACACAGAAAGCAAAAAAACCAATCAGATTCCAGACAGGAAACTCATAGCAGGAAGAGAAGCTGGTGCTGCCTAACCAATGGAGCTTGGGTGAACACATAACATAGGGGCAAACAGCTAGCTGACTAGAGAGTGAATAATAGGTGCGTAAAAGAAATGATGCATAGAAACAGCTGACGAGCAGCTTATATAAAAGGGAGCAGAAGCACAGACTCTTGGTTTGTTATAACCTGCTGGTTTGGTGCGCCTGCATGCTGTCCGACCACCGGTACAAGGCATGTTATGTCCTCAGTTGCCCTACATAAAGTAACCTGCATGACAAACGTTGCCAAGTAGCGTGGCTGCGTCATGCTGAGGGTGTCTGGCCCTTTGAAGAGAAGAAACAGCCCCGAGCAGCTAGAAGAAGCGTAATTGCACCATGCAGTGAGAGGAGTGGGTCCTTGGAGTACCTGCAGAGCCAGTAGTGGAAAGGACAGCAGCAGAGTGTAATAAGCAGACCCTGGAAGGCACAGTCACAGAGATCAGTAGGATTTATGGCTGCTGGGGGGAAAAAAAATTGGTCTTGTAGTTAGTAGGATCAGAAAGGGTCAAGAGAGATTTCTGAACCTAGCAGAAGGCACAAGGACATTGTGTGGGAGGGAGCTTCTCTAATTAAAGGGCATTGAGAAATCTGACTAATTTGGAGTGTACACAGAGCTGGTTACATGTGCTTTGGCACACGCAAGCATGCTGTGGTTGGGGACACGCACTCTGAGGAATGCACGCTGAGCGCTTCACAGTGATTCAGAAACTCATCAAAAAGAGCTCTTAAAATATACCACTGGGTGAGAGGAGCTTAGGTTTGCAGCACAAAGAAGCTGTGAAGTTTAAACCCTGCCTAAAAGCCTCTGCACTCACCTCAAAACCTTGCTCAAAGGCTTTAAAGGGAAAGACAGTTTCTACTTGTCTTCAAAGCTCCCAAAGTACTTAAGGCTATCACTATATTGGCAGGTAATGCAGTGTAATGCAGTGCAACTGGAACAGATCTGCAGAATGAAGATGGACATGATGTCCACGCTTTACTTTCTGGGGCGATATTACTTCAGCTGCGCTCTAGTGTGGCTGCTTGGAGTGAGCACCAGGTAGCAGTTGTGGTGCATGAGGTGCACTCATGGAGCACATCTTTGGGCCGAATTTAATCTGAAGCAGATCCTGTTTACTCACTTGTGACTGCTCTATGATGTGAATCAGAGAAGTGGGGGCAATCAAGAGTTTGAAAATGCACTCTCAGTGCAAACTGAAAAGCCGATGCAGACGTATGCTAGAATTGCGCTTCTGGGCCTGCCCAAACTGCTAGCCCCAGGAGGCAGCTCAGCACCCAGCCTTCCTGCAGACCACAAAGTGGCTGGCCCTTGCCTCACCTCATCTGCAGGATGTGCATCCAAGGCACTTTCCAAATGTACCAAAATGTTTGACATTCTGGTGACAAAATGTGACAAGATACTGGTGAAAGGAAATGAGAAGACAGCTGGAGTGTCTTCCCTTCTTCTCCTCTTTTCTTTGAACCACCTTCAGATTGGAGTGGTGAAGGGTAGGCTCAGCTCCCTCCTCCTCCTCCAGAGGGGAACCGAACCCCTGTTTACCACCTACTCGGTAGATGCTCAAGCCATCAAAAGCTAGAGGATACCCTAAGGTGAAGCTCTATTAATGCTTGTTACTTTGAACCAGATTATATTATTTCATTACTAGAGAGAGAGAATGTGAATAAATAATTCAGGAGTTAGGAGAGGGAAAAAGCTTGGTTTGAACCACAGCTATAGGATACATTTCACTTTAAAGCACTTACTTAAGCCCTACGGTTTCTTCAAAGACCACCTTAATTATAGGTACCTACAATCTTTTCTAGAAAATCTTAAAGCCGCTACACTCATCAGGGAAACAGTGGTTTCCTCACTGTCATTATTCTAATCAATGAAATGAGCCACATTTACCATATGATTTCAAGGCATATGATTTTGCACTGTCTTGAGCAGCTGTGAGAGTACAGAACACAGAAATCCTGGTTAGAAGGGACTTCTGGAGGTCCTCTCTCATCCAGCCTCACACTTGAGGCAGGAGAAGTAAGAAGAAATCAAAAACAGTATCGAGAAACAGCAGGAGAGGAAGGATAAAGTCATGAATAGGAAAGCATTTTATTTACTTGCAACAATGATGATATTTCTATTTTAATTTCATTTTGAACTGAGCCTTGACTAAAAAGAGGAAATAAAGAATTACTGGTACAGAAAAAATAACCTCAAGTTTTCCAACACATCGAAACAGGTTGCTTCTTCTAAACATTGCGCTCAGATCTCAATTTCCAGCTAGAAGTACCTGGAACTTCTGTAGCTTCAAAGGGGAAAGGATTAGAAGAAACTCAGTTTGTGAAAACAAAATCTGTTTGCAGGAAAACACTCATTCAAATCATCTACTGCTTGAAAAAATGTTTTGAAACTATTGAAATGTTTTGCTTCCAGAAGCACGTATTTTCAAATCAAAAAGTTCTGATTTGTGGGTTAGGCTGCCTTGTCGTAGTAAAATTTATGGATAAAGTATGTAAAAAGTTGGTCTCAAAATGAAACATTATACCTCACATTTTTTAGATATGGATTTAAGTTATTTCTAGTTTAAGAAAAATTAGACTTGTTTTTGTCTTGACAAATTGCATGAAATCGTGTTTTTCAACCTGCTGCCTTCCACTGTGATAATCTGTGCAGGGAGAGCAATATCCTGTGTTACTTTAAGTGCATAATGCTAGACTGATGCACATTTTCTTCTACGTATAGCACTTAAAAGATTTATCCTGTCCTACTGGGAGAGAATTTCCTTATCATTTTTGTTTTAAATAAAAGAATTTATTATTGCCCATATGCACAATAGCAATAACAGTTTTGCAATTCCTATATAAAACTGGAAAAGCTATGAATGCCAGTTTGTTCAAAAGGTAGTAGAATGAAGAGTGGTATATATTCTTGGATTTTCTCGAAAAAAAAGACGCTCTGAGGTAAATTTATTTTGGTGCACACAGACTACAGGATAAATACAGGCATAAGTAGGTCAACTTTAAGTTGACAGCCCAGGGTTGGCTATAAAATAATTTCATTCACGAATAAAATCCAGATAAAATTTCCACCAACTTTGGCCGCATTTCAATAGCAATAACAGTTTTGCAATTCCTATATAAAACTGGAAAAGCTATGAATGCCAGTTTGTTCAAAAGGTAGTAGAATGAAGAGTGGTATATATTCTTGGATTTTCTCGAAAAAAAAGACGCTCTGAGGTAAATTTATTTTGGTGCACACAGACTACAGGATAAATACAGGCATAAGTAGGTCAACTTTAAGTTGACAGCCCAGGGTTGGCTATAAAATAATTTCTTTCACGAATAAAATCCAGATAAAATTTCCACCAACTTTGGCCGCATTTGGATTTCACCCCAGGTATTTTTTTTTTTTTTTTTTTTCAGGAGACACATTTCTTTTTGCAGTGAAAAAAAGACAAAGAGCCATTAGACAGTTCAATATGGGATCAGGCTGATAGAGTTAGACTTTAACCTACAGCTTCTCTAATGTTATATATTATCCATACGTCACGGAAAATCTGGGGTGGAAATAGCCAGAATTCTCCAGTACCCCCACCCAGCATGGCTGTCAGTTAAAGATGGGCAAGTCCAGCCTCACAAATATACCAGAAACAAAGCATGACTGAACATTAAGATTGGGGCCCGTTTATCCTAATATTCAGATAAATAAGAAACCTCAAAATTATAATAATAGACATAAAATAAAGAGACATTGAGGGCCCCGATTTAAGTAATAAGAGCAAAGTATGGTCAGTATGAGTGACTACATCAAAGTCAATTTTCTCTATTTCTGTAAGTAAGTCAAGTAAATGCAACGCAGTGATTTGACCGAAACTGGGTGCAACGTCATTCTGAAGCTGTGCTGAATCATTTTGAAGCTATTATAGCCAGAGCTCATCTGGATCTCACCCATCAGGCCATTTTGGGCCTCTCCCTCCCCAGCACTGGGCCCCTGTCCCAGAACCAGTAAAGCCTAGGCAGGCGGTGCTGAGCAGGATGAGGGGATGCCCAGCACCCTGCAGGATCAGGCCTCAGGGGCCTTTCAGCAGAGGACACACACACACCCCCCCCAACCGCTCCAGGGGGCACTGGCAGACAGTCCTTAAACAGTGAGCCGAATGCAAGGATAACCGCTATAGGCAATTTGGTATGCTACTCCACTCCTGGAAAAAAAAAAAAAAGTACATAGTTATTCAAGGTGGAATTGATCTCAGTTAATTTTAGGCATCATTTTTAGGCATTCCAATTTTAGACAGATGTCAGTATAGAACAAGACTTGCATACAGCATAGGAGCACCTCTATATTTACACCTATGTATATATCTATGTACAGCAAAGGGCTGCTGCAGCCACCTCAGCTGGTCACCACACATCTGATTCACATGATAGATAATGCAGAGAAATAGGCACTTTAAGGGTGCAGTTCACTTGACCTGTTTGAAACAGCACAGCTCGGAGGGTAACAACAAGTTGTCCGCAGAGCACACATGACACCGAGCTGCAGACGCCTATGCTTAGGGCAATCTCACCGTTTCTGTCTGCGGGGATTTGCTTTCAATTACAAGTACAAGATAACAAAAGCACAACATGCCAGTGCTTTCTGAGATTTTCCCTCTTCTCCAACATCCTGCACTGAGCCACCGCAGAGTGGCTGCCCTGAAGGCTGCAGGAGCTGGCTCATCCTAAGAGTCCTAGCCATCTCTGTAGGTTAACTGCTGCCCTATTTTTGTTGCTGTTAATATACCTTCAGTGGCTTTCCATTGCAGATTCATTCACGGGACTCATAAACATAATGACCGACATCATTTGGCGCTACACTGGAGATTTCGTGGCTCCCGATCTCGTCTGCAGAGTGGTTCGCTACTTACAGGTATAGAAACCACGTGCCCTCTTCTATACTGAAGCTCAGATGAGAGCAATAAACCCATACAAAAATGCTGTATAGAGATTCTCTAAGTAGCAGGAGTGCCAAATGCTAAAAAAAAACCATTTAAAATTTAAATGCTTTTAATTAAACCATATGAAATCCTTTAAACTTTGTAGACAAGGAAAAGGGAAAAGATTTGGGTGAGAATACAAAGATTTTCTTTAGTCTTCTTCCTTCTTTTTTCTTTCAAAAAAGGTTTGCAAATGCTATATACAGAGCAGTGTTGTAGCTGACATTATTTTATGAAAACGTGTCTCAACTGCTGTCTTGTATACCTTCTGCCCCAGGTGGTGCTTCTATACGCTTCGACTTACGTCCTCGTATCACTAAGCATAGACCGATATCATGCCATAGTTTATCCAATGAAGTTCTTGCAAGGAGGTAGGAGAATTTCTGCACCTTGCTACCGCTATAGATATTATCGGCTAGCTCCATTTTGTTAAGAAAAGTTCCAAAATTATTAACCTTGTTGCCATGAATTATTCATTCCTTTTTGCATTATTTGGACTCCATTCATTTTCCAAATGGTAACAGAGTTGTGGTTTCAGGATTTATTAAGCTGCACTTAGCCCTCAGCAGTTTTATAAGCATTGTGTTAGCAAGAATGAAATGACATTTAAAGAAGTATAGAGGTTTTCATTATCTTCTAGCTTTTTGAGAAAACTGTTATGGGCAAAAGCTCTCTCTTGTACAGCTGTACTGACTTTAGGAACTACAGCAGG